TACAGCAATATGTCCAGTATCTAATTTGCTTATTGGTGTGGATCGAAACAGATCACAGCGGGACACAGAGCCCGAACTTAATTGTTTTTTTTTTGTTACTGGAGGTGTGTTAGGAGGTATATCAATAGTCTGACCAATAGGAATAAATTGCCGACAAAAATCAAAATATTTTTGCGTACTTAGACTTGCAAATCGAGCTGCGACATTTAAAACTAGCGTGCGAAGAACGCGATCGCCCGAGGAATACATACATACATGCATAAACTTTATTTCTATTCGGATTTTTAAATAGTGCTGTTGCGCTAGTATCTCCGAAAGCACTTATTCATAAGATAGAAAAACTAAGCACATTTAAGTACATTTAAATGAAATTATATAAAAAATAATTCACAATGCCGGATCGTCTATTTGTTCTTAAATTCTTTGAGTTTGAGACTGCAACAGCAAAGTGCCGAAATCGATGCTGCGATCATGTTGTCGTGTCGCGTTCTCACGAACAGCAAACCAAGTCACAAAAAATTTCAAACTGGCAAACTGAGATATTACAATCGGATATGCGTCACGGCTAATTTGCGAAAACCAAAATGACAGCAGTCTCAGCCAAATGCTCAAAATTATGCGGTAACGACGGTGAAAAAACGAGTAGGGATCGGTTGTTCAAAATTGGAATTTTGTCGACACCAAATTAATCAAAAGTTTGCCTTGGTTTTGAAAATGAATATTCAAACTCTACATGACTTTCTATACTAACGTAAAATCGAATTTAAAACAAGTCAAGAAAGAAAATGAAGTCAAAATGGAATCAGAACTTCCTAAATAACACACTATTCTAAACTCATTCAAAATCGTACCTCATCATACAGTCTCTACAGAATCTACGTTCACTAGTTGTCTGCACTAAGGGCTCTCGAAGCTCTAAATAGCAAACAGCGCATTTGTCGTCGTTTAATTCCTCTGCGGCTGAATTAAATCCGCGGATGCTTGAAGCTCCCTTCCTGTAGGAGTCCATATCGGAGGTTTAAAATTAAAGGGAATATATCCTCCAAACGGAGCAGCGTACGTAGCGCTAGTTCACTCGACGAGGCCGGCGTTTGATAAGTAGAAATTCCGTGGAAGTTTTGCTATTAATTGTCAACTCACGTGACCATCGGACGGACCATCGGTCATGGTAACCATCCAATCAGGCCTCTTTTCACGAGAATTTACATACGATACGCGTCGCAACGATTCCAATTTTTTCAATAAAAGTTTTCGAAGGAGCAGCTGTGTGTCACCAGTTAGCACGGGACAAAGCACGTGTGCAAGTCGTTTGACAGTTGATGAAAGGTGGCAACGAATCGAATCGAATCGGTGTAGTCTGTGGAGTTGCTTGACAAAACAATTTTAAATAGGCCTAGACAGATCATTGTCGCATTTACTTTCCAGTTATTTGTTCTTTTGGAAATCTTCAACATGAGGAGTGTTTTTCGACAACAGATGAAAGTTGACTTTAATCCAGCAGAAGTCTGTGATTCTTCGTGGAATTATTAGGGACCTTGTATTGCTACCAGCGCCTTCTTACTGCCTCGACAGCTGGTAATTTGTGCATAACTTGAGCTTCGGGCTGCAAGTTGTTTTATACGACTACCTTCTGAAGTGTTGGTTGTAAACAATTTTCGCACTGATTGTCGCAGTGAACGGTTTTCCATTTGTCAGCGACACCACGAGCCGCCATTAACACGAGCAAAGTGGCCAAGGTCCACGGTGGTTTATAGCTGTATTCGATGGAAGACTTTATCAAAACATTTCGTTTTTCTACTTTGGCTATGGAAGAACTGCTGAAGTGAACAAAGTTTCAAGTATGTATGCAATATTTCTACTGATTATGCCATGATATTGAGTCTTTATGGTATATAAAGTTGTTCCTTTGAAAAGAATTGGCCCA